GTAAGATATATATATATATATATATATATAGATATATATAAATATTTGCATTTTTTGTTGTTTATGTATATGTATGTATATATTCATATAAACAAGAAAAAATGTAAATATTTACAGTGATGTATGAATAACATATACTTTAATAGCACAATAAATATAGAAAACAAATACCAGATGCTAAAAACCCAAAAGGTTTTGTACTAGAATTTATATCCTGTTAATGCATTAAAAATACATCATATACTGCATCTTACTACCATTCAATTAATAATATCAAATTATTTTTTGCATTACTTTGCACATTTACAAGGAAAATATGAAAAAGTTATAAATTACATGAAATTCTTTAAGTACAAAAATTCTTGTACACTCTGGTCGCAGCTACGTGTATGTAGCAAAAATATAAACTACTATTAAGTAACTACAAAATAAATTATATTATTCTGATCAATTGAGGCATGGAGTACGGTTGTAACTGACTTTTTAAACATTTCACAAATATATCTACTGACAAAATGTTAAACTATTTTACTTTGATGATATAGAACTTTTATCTTAAATACACATATAAATTTTTGGAAAGATAAACTAAGTCAAATTGGTCAGAAAGTTACTTTTTGCCATTTTCATCTTTTTTACTCAATGTTCATGAATCAAAAATTAAATCTGATACAGAGATTTCATTCACTTGACCCTTATGCACAGTTGTCATCTGCCACCAACCTATTTGGGCTAATATTTTTAAAAAATATTTTCTAGAGTAACTTTAGTTTACAATACATAATTCATCAAATACAAATATATTATTAAACTAATCTTGTGTAACTTTATATCATAAGCAAGATGACAAGTTATTCAGATATCCAACAGACCATGTTAAACAAACTTACAGAATGATCCAAAAGCCATGTACCATCATGATATTTCTAAGTCCCACTCTTACTATGATTTTTTAAATCATGTTTGTATTTCATTCATTGTTTTTATGATTGTTGATTCAATAATTAACCATTATTCTTTGAATTACAAGGCTATAGGTTATTTAATAGGGATAGAATGCTAAGAAACATCATGGTTATGTTTAGGATATCAAACTAATGGCAATAAGGTTGAATCTGTTTAGGTTTCTGTCAGCAATTAAATGTCTTTTTTGTTGAAATATGTTACAGACCACCAGTAGAAACTGATAAAATTAATAAATTCTACAGTGAGATAAAGAAAGAATTCAGCTATTAATGACATTATAATTATGTAAGATTATAATTTCAGGCACACAGACTGGGAAATGTTAGTTAAGTTACGAGGGAAACAGGTTTTAGAAACTATTCAGGATGGTTTTCTTTACCAATTGGTTAGAGAACCTACGTGGCACAATGCTGTTGTAGATTTATTGTTAACTGCTAACATAAAAATGGTTAACAGGGTGGAAAATGTAGAACATCTGGGTGCAAGTTATCACTGCTCAATTAGATTTAACATTTTGCTGTATGTGGAAGTAAGAAATAATGAAATTTTGGTTCCAAATTTCAAAATAACCAAATTATAATTGACAAATCAAGAATTTATCTGTTGTGAATTGGGCAACTAAAATAATTGAAGACACTGATCAAATGTGTAAAAATTTTAAATATTCAAGATAGGCATGTTCCTTATAGAAAAAAAAGTGTGTCTGCAAGCAAAAAAAAAAAAAAAAAAACAGGTTGGCTCACAAAGGATAAAATTAAAGAAAAGTATTGTAAGAAGACTGCAATGATGGTAAATTGGATGGATTATAGAAGATCAAGACAATTGGTCAAATAGGAAATCACAAAAACTATATGGCTAAATATGTAAAAATGAATACACAGGATTTCTTTCTTTAAATACATTGATTGTAAGGAACACATTAGAATGGGGGTAGGGCCTTTGAAGGATGATACAATAATGCTAATATCTGATGATTATGGGATGACTAAGTTATTAAATTCTACTTTTTCTTCAATTTCTACTAATGAAGATTTGAGCAATATTCCTCATCCTGAACAGTTGCTAGATGGAAACAAGATTGAATAAGATTATCACATTAATTCTGAGCTTCAGAAAAAATTGGGAAGTTTAAAGAATGATAAAGCTCCTGGGCCAGATAATATTTACTCAGTGGTTTTGAAAGAGTTTAATGAGTAGATTTGCAAGTCAATTGCTACTATTTTTTCTGAGAACTGTGCTTTGCTAAGTCATTTAACAAAGTACAACATTTTTGGGGATAGTCAACATGGTTTCACTAGGGGAAATTTTGCCTAACTAATTTGTTAGCATTCCTAGAAGAGGTTACTGTAGATGTGGATTTGGTATGTGTGGATATGGATGGAGGAAACCAGGGGGTTCTTATAAATGGAGTTCAGTCAAGCTAGATTCATGTCACAAATGGGGTACCTCAGGGATCAGTGTTAGGACCTTTGCTCTTTTGAATCTACATCAATGACATAAATGAAAGAATGGTCAATAAACTGTTTAAATTTGTTGATGATATTAAAGTTGAAGATGTTGGTGGCTGTGAGAGAAATGCTGTTTCTTTACAAGAGGAATTGGATGATTTGATGAGTTGGGCAAATAAATGGTAGATGACTTTTAATTATAATAAATGCAAGGTAATGCATGTAAGATATTGGAGAGTGCTCTAGCTCTCTCTATGTAGGGATGGTACAGACAAACAGCCACATAAAAGCAATAAAAAAGTCATCTGAATATTCTTCTCTACAGGTCATCAGAAGTTAGATATGAAAAGCTACCTGGCATAGTTGCTCTATCTCCAAAGTATATGCCACTTCTCAGCTACCCAGAGCTTCCCAAGTTCGAAAACCGGCAAACAGCGCCAAAACCAAGATTTCTTATTTTCATTCATTGCCATCTTTCTTCAACAGGCCTAGTGCCTACCTAGTTCAAGCAGTAACTATACTTTTATCATCATTTGATAGAGCAAAACAGTCTTCACTATCTTTGACTACCTATTTTATTATTATTCTGTGCAAAATTTATAAAGCTTTAGAATACACTCTGTAACCTAGTAACCCACATACGCCATCTTATAAAAATGTTAACAAACAAGTATAAGGAAAAAAAAATTATCATTAACTAAAAAAGCTAGGTAGGGCTTGCTACTGAGCTTGGAAAAAAATGAACCAAACAAGATAGGGATGGATGTGGACACATCATTTGTTCAGCTAATGGTCACATAGCATACTACACCATCTCAACTTTACATGGAGAATAAAATCCCAACATCACTGGTTTCCTCACTGGCAAAACAAATATAACCAGAATTTTCAATTATAAAATGTTACTGTATTGTAAAATAGTCATAAAAGTAGTATTCTGCAGTTAACTAAAGGAAAGGTATAATGATGAAAGCTGAGATTCTATTCAAACACCAAACTTTCAACAGACAAAGTGGGGAAGCCAGTAACATAAGGATTTTATTCCCCATGAGAAGTCGAGACGGCTCAGTCTGCTTTGTGATCATTAGCAGATTAAATGATATGTCCACTTCTATCCCTATCTTGTTTGGTTCCTTTTTTCAAGTTTAGTAGCCAGCTCTAATAGTTTTTTCCTTATACTTGTCACAATTTGAATCATGCATATCATTTTGATGATGACCTTAACAGTGTAATGTTCCTAATGGCAGGGCAAATAGGATTTTAGGTTGTTCTACAGAAATAGTGAATACAAATCTAGAGGTTATAGTGTCATTGTGTAGGTCACTAGTTAAATAAAATTTGGAGTATTATATTAAGTCTTGTGGCCCTTACCTTACAAAGGACATTGATTTGTTGGAAGGGAATCAGAGGAGGGCCACTAGGATGATACCTCTGATAAGAAGGTTATCATACAAGTTCTCTGAATATGTTTTCTCTTGAAAAATGAAATAGTTAAAGTGGATCTGACTAAAATGTTTTAAGATTGTAAATGTATAGTATTGATGCTTCATTTTTTTTTATATTTAGTGGAAAGAATAGTAGGACTAGGGGACACAAGTACAAATTTTGACAGGGTAGGGGTCATCTTCTGCTAAGACAACTTTATTTTTCTTACAGGGTGATTGGGCATGGGAATGTGTTGCCTTCAGATGTAGTTGACACAGTTAATTTAAGGGAAGGCTTGATAAATATTTCAATAATTAGGGCTGAATTTAAGTGTTTCACTTTCATTTTAGAGTTTGGTATAGTGGACAGAACATCCTATATGTATCCATAAATTGTATGTTTTTATGTGCAAAAGTAAACCTGTTTTGAAATCATTTGTATATATTTTTTACAGCTGTAAGATAATTTGGCCTATTAAGGTTATGCTTAACTACCACAACCAGTTAAACTATTAAAACCAAATCAAATGTTGACCCTTATGTCCAAGTGCCCATTCAATAAGTTTACAAATATCCAATTTCATTGTATACACATTATGTACACTATTCCATAAGTTCATAAGTAACCAAAACATAATAATTCTGTCGAAGAACAGATCAGTATATGTTCCAAAACTTAAATCTATTGTTCCACTTCAAGCTCCTATTCCCAATGTTCACATTCCATTGGACACTTAATTCTCCTACACTCTAGATAGAAGAAATCAAATACTCTGAATTATCCTTTTAGTTAACATTTCTTGCATCAGGTGTCATTCTAGTAATGTATCTTAAAGCTCTTTCCAATTTATGCTAGTATCTAGCAGTAACATATTTATAAAGTAATATTCCAGATGAAACTTCTCCAGTTTATACAATATAACAATGAACTTTAAAAACTTCATCATTGTTAATAGATTTACTTGTGCAAAATTCTAACTGAAGGTTAAATGAAGAATTTATAAAATTAACTAGTATGTTAATAAGAGCATAACTTTGAAACATAATTGTATAGCAATCTATGAAATACAGGATGACTATGTAGAAAATCCTATATTAGAAATAAATAAATGTATTATAGCCCTATGCACACTAAGAACCACATATTTTAAGTCAAAAGTTTGGAAATGCTACACAGTATTTGAAAACTATTGCACTGTATAACTAAATTTTCTGAAAAACAAACATTGCCTTTAGTGAGCTTCAGTTCTCTTCCACTCTCTTTCAACAAATGTGCCAATTTGCATTAGTTTATTCTTTGAGTATCAAAGGACTCTGTCCAAAAGAGATTATACTTGTAAGTTGCAGTAGTTAAAGGATAGGCTTGATATGTTGATTTTGAATGACTGAAAACGACTTGTTGTACCACATACACACTTTTTTGAATAAAGCTTGTGATTTTTAATTATTTTTTTAAAGTTAATATGCCTCTGCTTCTTGTGAAGTTTAATTCCTAGTTTAAAACCCAGGTGACAAAAGATAAATCTGAAATGCTATTTTTAAACATCTCTGATTTAAAGTTGCGTTTATTACATTTGCAACAATAGAAGCTCAATGCTACTAGTAGTAGTTACTAGTATAAGAGTAAGACATGATACCACACTGGAGAAGTAGGAATGGGGTAATTAAATCAGCAAATGTAATGTTCTACTATATTCTTTGATAATAAAGGGAATCTTTAAGAAATTATCTCTTATTTGAACTTAAAATGGTGTACTTGTTTCATCAAGCTTTGTAAAATCAAACTTACACCCACAAGGGAAACAAGACTAACTTAAACGTCTGACAGCTTTATAAACTACAGTTTGCATCAGATAAAGCACGTTCCTTGTAGGAGGCTGTCTCAATGCAATTCTCTTACACCTACGCCGGTTTTCAAGAACAATAAAACCTGACATTACTCTATGTTATAAAAGCGAACATGTAAACTACAAGAACGAAATGTTCTTCCACTAAATAATTTTATCCTGTCTTTCTTGTTGATAAATAGTCATGGTATTGTTACGTCTCCGTTTGTTAATTGATTTTTCCGTAACTTCGTTCCGACGAAACTTTAACGACACAAGTCCTTACTTAATAAAACTGGTTTATTCTTTCCGAATATAACTTTACGATACACTTATTTTCAACAGTCGCTCTTTTACAAACGTTTTAACGACGAACGTTAACTTCAACAATACGTCTCACTCAGACTGCAGTTCAATTACTCATTACCTACACACACATTACCTTCCATTCCCGCGTCACCTTGTCACCCTCTTATATATACCAGGCTACCCTATCTAGTAAATACTAGAGCATTCATGAAGGAACAAGATAGTTCTAGAAACTAGAAGGCGCCACACCAGTCACGTGACCTCGATGACGCAACAGTATTATTTTCTGTGAAGATCGTTAGCTAAAAGTAGAGTAAGACAAAAGTGTCAAGGGGACAGTTGGTAACATTCTATTTAGATGATCAAGTAGAATAGTAACTCGAAAAAGTTATGAAACTTTGGCTTACAAAATTTAAAAATATATATTTAATAATAGGACAATTACTAAAATTTAATTTATCCTATTGCACCTGGAAAAGAATGTGAAGTTACCAGATAATTTTATGAATTTGAATTGTTATAGCTAATGTGAGCTATTTTCATGTTTTGTTAACCTCAACAAGCCGAATGGCCTTTTCTAAATAATTTCTTTTAACTTCTTAATTTTAATTTCTTTTAACAATAAATGAGTTGGACTCATAATCTAATTTCATTTTTTTTGTTAACCTCAATAAGACGAATGACCCTTTCTAAATAATTTCTTCTTAACTTTGTAGGTTATGTTTCAAGTCCCCCCCCCCCCCCAGTGGCACAGCAGTATGTCTGCGGACTTACAACGCTAGAATCCGGGTTTCGATACCCATGGTGGGCAGAGCACAGATAATCCATTGCGTAGCTTTGTGCTTAATTACAAACAAACAAACGTTTCAAGTTTGCAATAAAATAACTTGGACATATAATCTAATGACGTATATTAATAATGCTACAAACATGTATAGATCTTATTTTCAAATCTATATACTACTAAAACTCTGAGATTGTTGTTGTGTGTGCTTGTCTGTAATTAAATACAGCAAAACGGACACAAATAGACGTAATATTTGTAATG